GAAGTACAATTTATTTGTCTGTCTAATTTATTGAAATTTAAGATGCATTTGCTGTTCGGCTAGTTAGGTCAACATTTATTAACCCTATGGATAGACTGCTACAAGTACATATAAATACATGGAAGAGTGTTACATCATTGTTTATGATAGCAAAAAATGTATCCACCTGGGTGTTAGGACAAGACAATTGTGAATTATTTTTCATCCTGCAACAATGGAATATCATGCCATCATCGAAAGAATGAGTGTTGATATAGGAAGATGTAAATCAAGATTGCTTTAAGGAAAAAACAAATCAGGAAGAATGCAGTAAATAGTATAAAACCATCTGTGTATTGAAAAGGATTTTTTTTGTTGGTTTTATTCACAGTTTTTTCATGCAGTATAATTTGATCATGTTTTCCCCTATCTCAACCCTTCCATTTCCTCCTTACCTCCCTACACCCACCTAACTTCATGTTCTCCCTCTCTCCTTCAGGGAGGAAAATCCCACAAGAACTAAAATCAAAACAAGCAAAACAAAACAAACAAACAAACAAAAAACCTAGTAAGATAAAAAATAAGAAAACAAGTTCATTTTGTGTTGACCTGCTACCCCTGGACGTGGGAATGCCCTGGAGTGTCGTCAATGTCTCCAATGATATTCCATTGTATAAAGGTGGATTTTACCTTTGACAGCAGGTGTCATCCATTACAAGTAGCTCCATCATCAGGGGTGGGACTTTGTGCTCACTTCCTCCTCTCAGCACTGGCTCCTTTCCTGGCTTGAACCTATGCAGGTCTTACGAATCCTGCCACAGTCTCTGTGAGTTCATATGTGTCCAAGTCCTCTTGTAACTGGCTCTTACAATCTTTTTGTCGTCTCTTCTGCTTAGATCTGTGAGCCTTGAGAGGAGAGGTCTCATGGAGACATCCCATTTAGGACCGAGTAACCCAAAGTCTCTCTCATTTGCATGTTATCTAATTGTGGCTCTTTGTTAATGACGGTATCCTGCAAGAAGCTTCTAGTCAAGTGATGCACTGATCTATGGGGACTAGCAGAGTGTCATTAGGGGTCATTTCATTGCACTGATCTATGGGGATAGCAGAGTGTCATTAGGGGTCATTTTATTGCTATATTCCTTTACCAGAATAATAGTAGTAGGCTTTCTGCTAGGTCCATGATTTAGGTAGTCTCGGATTTTTGGCCTCTTTCGCAGTGTCAGGTATGAGTTCCACCTCATGGAGTAGGTTTTGAATCTTATGAGAAAGTGGTTGGTTAACCTATAATGTTTGTGCCACTTTTGCACTAGTATATCTTGTGATTTGGTTGCTGGTAACAGGTCACAGTGATGTTGATAATTATCTTCTCCTCTGGTAGCATGCAAGACCTTCTAATGCCAAATGCTAGTCAGCATGGGTTAAACTTCTAGTTGGACATGAGCTCAACTTCTCCATGTTTGATGACATAAATAAATGTGGACTTCAGCAGTAGGGTGTTACCATCAGGCTGTGGAGAGCGACCAACAGCATTGGCCATAGCCTGTGATGTAGGGGGAGAGTATATATGGAACTCCTTTGCCCAGCAACTCAATAAGATACAACTGCCCCCCACATACACTAGAGGTTTTTCCTGGTGGCATAAGATATCTGGTTGAGACATTGTCTACCCCATTATATGATGACTTGATTTAAATTCCTCTCATATATATTACACATTTTAGGGAACTTCTTCAGTAGGAGGTTTCCATATGGTTTTTCAAAAGCCCATTAGTGTTAGTTGTTCCTCCCCATGTTTCCTTCTTTACTCCACTCTCCTGCCCTGTCCCCTTTACCTCTTTTATTCTCGTTTCCCCTATATCTCTTCATGACCTATATTCTATTTCCCTATCCTTAGAAGATCGTCTCCTCCCCTCTGGTCCCTTACTAACTTCTGTGATTATTTGGATTATAGTACACATATTCAAAAGCTTAAAAGCTAACATTTAAATATAAGAGAAAACATGCATATTTACAAGGATTATAGGGACTGCAGCATTTCTTTTAGGATTGATATTAGAATTGAATCCTTATATAGACATTCTGTATACACATAGTATATTCCTAATATGAGACATAAACTATTTCAAAAAATTATTTTTTTTGGTGGTATGGCTTGCACAGTGTAAAATAAGGGGTGCAATTTTACTCTTTACCATAAACAGTATAACTCCAAGCACTTTTATCATTAAAAATAATGGAAAATTACTTAAAATATAAAATTGAAGCCAGGTGGGGGTGGCACATGCCTTTAATTACAGCACTTAGGAGGCAGGTGGATCTCTGTGAGTTCGAGACCAGACTGATCTACAAGAGCTAGTTCAGGACAGCCTCCAAAGCCACAGAGAAACCCTGTCTTGAAACACCCCCCCCCAAACTACATAAAAGAATTAAAATACCTAATCAACATTTGGAATAGTAAATATTATGAGACATATTGAGGGAAAATGAACTCCATTACTTTGTTTCCTCATTTACTTACTTTTATGTATATGGTGTTTTGCCTGCCTGTAGGCTTGTGCAGTGCTTGTAGTGTCAATAGAAGGACATCAGATCCCTTAGAACCAGAGTTACTGGTGGTTGTAACCAGATAGGTGCTAGGAATTGAACCCAAGTCCTGTGTTAGAGCTGCCAGTGTTCTTAACTGTTGAATCACCTTCCTGCCTCCCTCACTTAATCATTTGAATAATTGTTGATTTATGGTAAATAGCATGATAAATTTATAATGCTAAAATGAGTTCTTACCATTATTTGGAAGTTTTACATGTGCTACCAATATAAATTCAAATGTAACAGCCCAGACTAAGGAAGTCTCTCTCTGTCCTATTTATGTTTCTCATTCACAAGTCATGGAAACATTCAATAATGAGTCAACCACACTGAGTTCCTCTCTGTATTTTCAGTGTTAGGCTTTTATACAGACAGGCTCTGATTGTATGCTGTTTTTGAATAGACTCCTATTTTTTTATGAATTGGAAATTAATGGAAGATTATTTTCTGTTGTCTAATTATCTAACTCTCCCCCAATGTAGTAGAGGGATGTTCTTTTAAAAGAATTAATTATTTGACCTCCTTATAATTATACAATCACATGTTTCCAGAGTGGGCATTTAAAAGACCTTTAATAACTCATAAGATATTTCTTGTAGCCTACTCCACTGGCATATCTCCTATCTCCTAGCACAGTGGCTGCTGACTTCTCCTCTTGTCTAATCTGAAACCATAATTATTTCAATTTCATCTTTCTTCTCTCTTCATGTGTTATAGTTGACTTCTGAGATCTCTAAGGGAGAAAAACAATCTGTGTTTGGATTGATCACTGTTGAGTTGAAATCAACATTTATAAAGAAGTTTCTCTGTACAGGCCATCTCATTAACTTCATTAACTGTTTACTTTTTCTTATTGGTATGATCTATAAGAAGCTAGTGTTCTGATTTCTGGTATGACCAGATGTGTTCAGAAAAATAAGAACTATCTGAACCATGTGTTGGTTTGAAGATTTGTAATGGAATATATGGACAATTCCCTGTTCTTATAGCCCAGTGGAGAATATTTATAGTCTGTCCTTAAAAGTAATAGAGTAGAATAAGAGAAATAATGTCAAATTAATCAGCCTAGAAGAAAGCTTAGAGTTGGAGTCCATAAATCACAAATTCTAGATATAACTCATAAGTGGTATTGGGGAAAGAATCCTGGATTTGTAGACATCCAAAATTTATGTCTGTAATTGGGGTTGGGCAAACAACCTTGAATCTTAAAAGCATAGCCTTTCAGGAAGCATAGGCTTGGAGCCCAGTTCCAATGGACACATCTACAAACATTCCTGTACCTAAGGCACAGGGAACATTGTGGAAAGATTTTAGAGCCAGAGGATCAACGAGTTTGCTGTGAGATTGTTTTTCATAATCACGTTAGAAGCTGAACCCATAAAGACTCATCACATGAATGCTTAACCGTGATCTGAACAAGGATAACATGAGTAGGCACACCACTTAGAAGAGTGGGAAGGTGGTTGGAAAGCTTCGTTTCTGGCCTGAAGTTGACCATTGCTGGGGTTTACAAAATGTTAGGGTGATCAGTAACATCTTAATATTACTTGGGGTTCATTGGGCAGAGGGGAACAAGTTAATTTACTTCTAGAAGCCAAATTACGGCAGTTACTGGAACTGTCACAATTCAGCCAAAACAGAGTTCACGAAATGCTGTTGCCCTGGCCAACAGTAAGGGTCAGGGACTGAACTCTGTCATTTTACTGGAACTCTCAAAAGAAGAGGGTTCCAAGCTACTATAGGCTTGTCTCAGAACTAGTGGTGTGTCAGCCCCCCACTGCCTCCTGTGTCTTTTTATTCTTCCCTGTGTAGTGAAAGATATCCCGGCCTGCCCCTATTGCACTGACCATGCCCATTGGGGCATGGATACAGGTGCTGACATGACCTGTGGGGTCTAGGTCTGGGCTCCCAGACCCCAGCTTGCTCTCTTATTTATTTCCTGGTGGGAGACAGAGAGCTTCCAGGGGCATCCTTAGTGTGGAAACCAGCAGCGGTCATCAGTTTCTGGTATAAGTGACTTCTTCCTAAATAAACATCAATCAACCTATATTGTGATTCCAGTTTCTTTTTGCTCAGCTGATGTTAAATTACCGCTGCAATGTTGCTCAGAATCGAATCCCTAGGACTTGTGAGATAGGTTATTATACCTATCCTGGTGCATGGGCCACACACTTATTGAAGCATCTGTGCTGCTCTAACACTTACATAAAAGCAAAGTTAAGGCCGTCTTTATACTCCTGCCCTTTGATATGGCATCTGCTCAGTAGGCAGGTTTATGAATAATTCTGTTGGAATTGACTGGATAATGCCAATCTGGGTGATGAAACACTGTGTAGAGTATATGGAGGTGCACCGTGAGAATGCTTCTGGGGAAGAAATATGGCAGGGTGTCCCAGGCTGGCCAGGCTCATGCCCTCTCTTTCTGTTTCCAGGGAGGAGAACATTGTTACTACCAGGGCCAGATCCGAGGAAACCCTGCCTCATTTGTTGCCCTGTCAACATGCCATGGACTCCAGTAAGTGCCACATATATTATTTACACATTCGTGACTTCAGTAACCTTTTTTATGTTTAGCATACTAGTAAAATTTAGAGTTTCAGAATATACTGGTAAACTGTTAGCATTTCAGAAGCCAGAGGCTTTGAAATTATGCTGCTGTACAGTGATACTTGGAGAATTTTTCTAGTTCCATCCAGATTCAGACAGGAGTGGCTCGGATAACTTTTGTCTTCCTGGGAATGATTAGCCCCTCAAAACCAATTCAGCCCTCCACTCTTCCTTGATTTGAGTCGTGATAGTTTCTTGAATTGATAGACATTCTGGCAGATGAAAACTCATGGCTCTTTGCACAAACACAAAGGCTGCAGATGACCTCAGAAGCTCTGTGTTCAGCAGGAATGCACGATACTGAGCAGCCGTGGGAGGGGTCATAGAGCTCTGAGGGCGGTTTTGTCTTCCCTTGCTTCCTCTCTCAGGACCTTCACATCACAGAATGCTTGCTGATGGTAAACATGGCAATACACCTCTCTCCATTCCTTCCTTGGCGGTGACGCTCACAGGGCCATTTCTATTAATGGCCTCTTGAAAACATCCCGGAGTAGTCTGTTTAGAGTGAATCATGCGATTCCTTTTGACTTGTTTTATTTGTTTGTTTGTTTGCACAGAGTAAGCTAAGTTTTAATTACTTTAAAATTTTTGCTTTGTTTTGTTTTTGCTAACTGTCCTTTTGTAGCCTTTTTCCATCTAATCAGCTGTTACTGTGTGTCTGGCGTGTAGCAGTGTTGAGGCAGTTTTAACATGCATGAGTTCTGAGACCTCAGGGCAAATGTAACATGTCTTCATCTTGTGAAATAAGATAGGTATATTTAGGTATGTTTGCTTTATTTGAGAAAGGGAAAAACTAACACCAGGGCCAAATCCAAACTGAGGTTTGGCACTGAAGGACAGGTAAAGATGAGATCTCAAAGGTGTGTCACCTGCAGCAGGTGGAGTGGACCCTGTGACATGCTCTGAGAGAATCTTCCAGTGAATGTTAGATCTTAAATCTACAGCGGCGATGGGGTGAGAAGGGCTGGAGAGTCTGGCTAGTGGTCCAAGCGACAACTCTGGCCAAGCTCTAGGGAGAAGTATGTTAGACAGATAGAGAAACTGTCAGGGAAGTAAGGGACCAGAGAAGGGAGGTCCTGTGCCTGCTTAATGCAAAGCTCCTACTTGCTTCTTATAATAATAAATGCATGTTTATTTTACCTGTGTTCCTTGAGTAAGGAGATACTATTAAAGACACGGCATCTTCGTTAATTATACAGGCCTTGATTTTCTTTTCAGATGAAAGAAATGTTGAAATCGTTTTCATAGTAAAAGTGGTGTGTCTAATCTCAACACAGCATGGCTGTAGACTGTGTTTGACCCATATGATATTTATAACAGCAAATGTATGTTGGAGGGAAGAGTGATACAAACATAAAAGGCCTTTCCTATCTCTCTCTTATGCTTAGACTCTCAGCCCAAGTCACCGTGTGAGCATTGTGCTCACTGTCTTTCAGTTTGCTGCCCAATTTCCCAAATGGACAGTGTTGTGGGAACCAGGAGGAAGCTATGAGCTCCCTTTATGGGCTCTATACGGCATGAGAATCTAAGAACAATAGCTGGGTTCTACCCTCCCATGGTCGGCCCTTTAAGGGAGGTGGGAACAATGCCTTACAGGGTCCTGCCTCAGTTGTTTTAGTTAGTGTATTTCATATCTACCTTTAAGAATTCTTTCACTTTAAACTAAGCAAAGTGAAACTAACAGAAAATCCATGATGTGTCTACAAGTACTGACAGAATTGTGGTCAACTGTGACTGGGCTTTCTTAGATGGTATAAGCATGTTTTGTACATTTTGTTACTGATAAACTATATTATTGTCATGATTTTACTTCTGAACACAGTTGCTCCTAGCAATTTTGGAGGAATATTACTGAACAGTAAAGGAGATAGGCTATCTCAGTTATAATGGTTTAGGTATAAGCTATATTACTTCATGCATAATTCATGTATTATGAATGGCCAAGTTCATACTGAGGTTTATTCTTGTTTCTGATTCACTGTATTTAGTTGAAGAACATAAATGGGAAAAAATTATGTTAGGAAGCTTTTCTCTTAGAGTCCATAAGGTTCATTTATACAAGTACAAAGGATTAGTAGGCAATATTTTATTCCATGTATGTTTGATGTTATCACAACCTAAAAAAAGATAAAAATCAAATGTAAGTTTATTGCCCTCTTGTGGAAATTTGTAAGAATGGCTGCTGTTTCCTTTCAGTCTTATTTTAATTCAGCTTTATAGCAATTTAGCTCAACTCTTCCGTAATGACTTTGTTATATCTGTAAGGATTAATTGTTATAGGCTTAACATATGTAGAGTTATATGTTATAATCTAAAGCTGTCAATCCTCAAAGCAAATGAAACAGCTATTTTATTATTGTTGTTGTTGTTGTATTAGAAAAACCACATTGTTATGAGGAATCAGAATTTCTTTTTTAGTTTTTAATTGTTTTACTATTCTCTCATTTATTACATCCTGACCACAGTTTCCTCTCCCTCCACACCTCTTAGTCCTTCCCCACCTTCCCTCTCCCCAGAGCAACTCCTCTTCCATGTCCTTTAAAACAAAAGAGAACGTTGGGGTGGTGATGGTGTATACCTTTCACCCCAGCACCAGGGAGGCAGAGGCAGGTGGATCTCTGTGAGTTTGAGACCAGTCTGGTCTACAAATTGAGTTCCAGGATAGCCAGGGCTGTTACACAGAGAAACCCCTGTCTTGAAAAAAGTAAATAAATAAAAAATAAAAGTAGGCCTCTCAGGGATATCTACTGAACAAATTACAATAAGACTAGGCACAAACCCTCCTATTAAGTCTGGACAAGGAGCCCCAGTGGGAGGAAAAAGGTCCCAAGTTCAGGCCAAAGAGTCAGAGATACTCCTCACTCCTATTGTTCGGTGTTGCACAAGAACATGAAGTAACACAGCCATAGTGTCTACGCGGAAGATCTCGATTGGAGCCATACAGGGTCTATGATTGTTGCTTCAGTCTCTGTGAGCCCCGTTGAGCCCTGCCTAGTTTATTCTGTATGCCAGGTTCTCCTGGTGTCCTTGACCTATCTGGCTCCTGTTCCTCCTCCTCCTTTGTAGGGTTCCCCTGTCTCCACCTAGTGTTTGGCTTTGGCTGCAGGTCTGCGTCAGTTGCTGCATGATGACACTTGGGCTAGGCAATTGTCCATGAGCATAGCAGAATATCATTAAGAATCATTTCATTGTTTCATCGACTTTTTATTTATTTATTTATTTATTTATTTATTTATTTATTTATTTATTTAGGCTTTTGCCAGTAGTGTTTTGTTTTATCCTGGGTTTCTAGGTTGTCCAGCTTCTGGTTCCTGACTATCCAGGCCAACCAGGCATGGGCCTCCTTTTTGTGGCCTGGGCTTCCACTTGGATTAGACATTGGTCAGGCACCCCACAAATTCTGTGCCACCATTACCTCAACATACCTTGCAGGCAGGACAGATTGTAGGCCAAAGGTTTTGAGGCTGGGTTGATGTCCCAGTCCCACTTCTGGGATCCTTGCTTGGTTATAGAAGTGGCCAGTTTGGGCTCTGTATCTCCTACCACTAAGAGGCTTCGCTGAGGTCACTCTTACAGATTCCAGCGAGTTTCCACTGCACTAGGTTCCCACATCATCCCCCAAATGTTCCCCCAATTCCAGTCCTCCCTCCCAGCACTCTCCCTCCATCCTACCCCTGCCTGATGTCCCCTGTTCCCAGCCCTACCCACGGCCAGTCCACCCATAAAATCTCTTCTTTTTCCCCTTCCCAGGGAAATCCACAGGTCCCTCCTTGCTACTTAGTCTCTCTGGGTCTGTGGATTGTAGCATGATTATTCTTTACTTTATACCTACTGTCCACTTAAGTGAGTATTTACCATGTTTGTCTTTGTGGGTCTAGGCTACCTCACTCTGGATGATTATTTTTCTATTTCTATCTATTTGCCTACATATTTCATGTTGTCATTGTGTTTTTAACAGCTGAATAATACTCCATTGTTAAATGTACCACATTTTCTTTATCCATTCTTTGATTAAGGGATGTCTAGGCTGTTTCCAGTTTCTGGTTATTGTGAATAAAGCTACGATGAGCATAGTCCTTGAGGTGGGATGGAGTGTCCTTTGGGTATAAGAGTGTTATAGCTAGGTCTTGAGGTAGATCAAATCTCAATTTTATGAGGAACCACCATATTGATTTCCATAGTGCCTGTACAAGTTTGCATTCCCACCATCAGTGGAGGAGTGTTCCCCTTGTTCCACATCCTTTGCCATTCTGACAGGTTTAAGATGGAATCTCAAATTAGTTTTGAATTGCTTTTTTCCCTGATGGCTAAGGATGTTGAACAGATTTTGTTTCTCAGCCATTTGGGATTTTTCTGTTGTAAATTATCTTAGATATCTATCCATCTTTTAATTGGATTATTTGGCTTGTTGATGTCTATTTTCTCTCACTCTCTCTCTCTCTCTCTCTCTCTCTCACACACACACACACACACACACACACACACACACACACACACACACACAAGATAGAAGTGCTCTATTGGATACAGAGTTGGTGAAATCTTTTCCCATACAGTTTCTGTTGCTATAAAGACACATTATGATCAAAGCAACTCTTATAAAGGGAAACATTTAATTGGGTGGCTTACAGTTCAGAGGCTTAGGATATTATCATCATGGTGAGACATAGCATTTTGCAGGCAGACATGGTGCTGGAGGGGTAGCTAAGAGTTCTACATCTTGTGCAGGCAACAAGAAGTGATCTGCCTCACTGGCATAGATTGAGCATAAATAAGACCTTAAAGCTTACCAACAAGCTCACACCTAATCCAACAAGGCCACACCTCCTAATAATGCCACTCCCTTTGAGAACCATTTTCTTTCAAACCACAACAGTGTCCTTTACCTTACAGAAGCTTTTCAGTTTT